AATGTGGGAGAGTCTTCAGCCATCCCTACAAATCGCTAGCATGAATCCAGTAGATGCTATTTGCCAATACATTGATCAGGCTGATGGAGATTTTTATCACCGTTTATTCATTTAGAAATAGACGTATCGACAAATAAGAAACAATTTCTTCAGCAATCCGTTTCTGAGTGAAGTCTGAAAACCCCAGACCTGCCCAAGGGATCAGTTTTGCACCACACTACAGCAGCTCTAGAGGTAGAGGTCTCTGCCCACCACAGCACGTTCCAGTAAATCCCCAAGCAGATCTGATGCTTCGGACTGGGTTTGTTTTTTCTTTCCCCATCACAGCAGTCCATCAGGAGGCCTGGCTGCAGGACATTTCAGAAGCAAAAGCCCTCTCCAACATTTAATGCTGCTCTCATCACCAACACCATCGGAAACCCGTGCCACAGCAAGCACGGCCAACACTAACACAAGCAAGCACCCCCTCAGGAAAAGGAAAAGCTCCTGTTTCCTCTGATGTGGTACATGAAGATAACGATTAGGCATCCAGAACCAAGCGCCCCCCTGGGCTCCAGAGGGCTGTTTGTCCACGTGCGTATCACGGAACAACCTCTAGCTCATAAAAGGAGCTGAAGAAATAACCCTAGGGGAGAAGACATCGGAAAACGCAAACATTGAAAACATCCTCTGACGTTAACCGTGTCCCAACCAGCTGCAGTGGAAGCTTCATCTTTATGCTTAATGCTTTAGCATAAAGGTTATTTGCAGTCTCACTTCTAGAGAAATAATGAAGAATGAAGGGTGCATAGCCAAGCTTTGTCATCTCACGTCTGTGGTCCTGAGGGCCTCATGTCAGCTAGCAAAGTTAATTAAAAAAAAAAAAAAGGCAGCCAGCTGTCTTGCAATTTTTTTAATCCCCAAAATGGTCAGAAAAGTGATGTGCACATGTGGTATGTCTCATTAATACTCATCATATGTGTGTTCATGCATTACACAGACTACAGATGTATCTAACTTGGCTATATGCCCATATACCTCTTTTCTGACTGGACTTATACTACACCTACGTTCATGCCTGCTGACATGCTGCTATACTATAGATCTGATAATATTGTCACTACCCTCAAAAACTCTGATCTAGGAATAACATATAAGAAATAGGTTATCATACATTTACTTTTTTTTTTCCTGTAAATATTTACACTTTCTTATTTACAATAATAGTTTGTCACAGCAGAGGGGATAGAGACCCCAAAGAGATGACACTGGATATCACAGGAGAAAAGTCTTATTTGTTAGTGAGACAAAATACTTTTCACACACATAAATACATATACACAGAATCTTAGTCTAGCTTCAGCATTATGAATCCAGACAACCCCAACAAATCAAAAGAGAAAAGAGCTATGAAAAACTGAGGAGTGTAAAAAACAAAACCAGAAATGAACTGTACATAACCCTGGATATTCTGAGAAGTGATAAGCATAAATTATTCACAAATGAAATGATGAAACTTTTGTTCTATTAAAGAAATATTATCAACTGCAGCACAGCTACTCAACATCTATACTTAGCAATGGATCATAGGATTGTTCAGTCTTAAAAATGCAAGTGTTTTTTAAACATTGTCAGTTGTTTCAGAGAAGCAGAATATATTGACAAAGCTTTGTTTTGTAAGAATGTAATAATAGAAGTAAATTTTGAGTAATGTGTAAGATCAAAAGGAATACAGAGGTAGCTCTTCAGGGTATAAAAACACCCCTGAGAAGAGTCTCTTGCATAAGCTACTTCATGCAAAAATGCCATTCTCCAGTCATCCCAAACTGTTCTTATTTGTGGAAGTCAGAGTAAGTTATATTTGGAGGGAGAAGGGAGGTAACATTCTTTTTCTCTGCTTATTTTTAAAAAGAAAACCTTTGTGAAGGAAAAGGTATTCCATATCTTTAGAAAAACCCACTTGATTTTTAAAACCACATGAGAAGATATCACAGGAACAAAAGGCTGCTTGAGAGGATGAGTTTCCCATTTCAAGAACATCTACATAATTTTCCAAATTCTAAGGGCTTAAAGCAAATCTCTCAGGCACCATATCCTCTCCATTCGCATCAGTATGGGGAAACTCTCACAGTTCCAGGACAAGAAGGATGCACAGAAGGTTGAACTGGCCAGCTGCTCAATACAGACAAGTCTGATGCTCAGGGGACTTCTTTACTGTAACTTTTTTTTTTGAAGCTATCAAGTAGCTAAATGGAATCCAAGCCTCCAAGCAGTAACTCAAGCACGTATCTCCTTCATCCATAAAATTAGTATTAGGGTTCCTTGCACGCTCAATGCACTCTGACTTATCATACATCTGGGATGCGTACAGAACATATAGTCATTTTGAATGACTTGTAAAAAATAAAAAAGAAACGGAAACTCATCCTCATTTTTTGCAGTATCTGCTGTGGCCACTTCATGAAAGCCTCTATAGCAGGAGAGGGCTCTCCACAGCTCTCTGGAACCACACTTCCATAAAGAAGCAAACTTGCAAGAGCTGCCTTTGATTCAGATTTTCTACAAAGCTAAAACATGCTCACATGAATTACACATGCATATGCAAAGAGGAAAGACTGAACAATTATACAAGAGAGAGAGTGTCCATACCCTGGTAAGGTCCATGCCAAGTTTGAGCTGAGAGATGAGATGGAGAATTACACTACGTTGATCATCCATGACTCCTAAATCCTCCTCTTCATTATCTTCAGTATCTGTCATTTCATCTTCTACTAGGATCAACTCAGAAGATGAATGCTGAAATGAAAACAAACATCACCATCTGCATGAAAGAGATACAATATGATTCTCTTTCACTGTATAGGTTTAAAAATAAAGCTGTCTCAAGAGAAACACAGACAGTCCCCTTTAAAACATACAAACAAAAAAATCCAGTGATGGATTTTGTAGAGCAATTTTATTCTATCCTCAAAACAAGAGTGGTAAGAGTGCATAAATTAACCTCAGATATTTCTCATATTTATAGTGCAGTGATGCCAGGCAGAATCACAGCATCTTACACTAATTGCACTTCTACTTATTAAACAGAAGTACATAATTGAAAATCAATCTTCGGGAGTTTGTTTCATAAGGAAACATAAGAATATTCTTAAGAATATTCATAGGAATATTCTGCAGTGAATATTCATACTCTCTACCTATACTGCATGAGTGAATTTCACACTGCTTCCCCTCCATTCCTTTATCCAACTTCAAATCTTAAAAAACCAAGGAAAAAAAAAAAAAAAGTTGGCCGAAGCTCACTCACCACCACAGTCAAGACCACTAAGCAAAGGAGATAAACAGAAGAAAATAAAGTATATATCCCCCAAAATACAAAGATACTGTGTTTTTGGGGGGTAGGGCAACGCAGTGAGTCTTTCTGACATTTCTACGTTATGCTGCTTGTGATTCAGAGAGTAACGGTGATAGCACTGACCATTCTCCAGGCATGAGCTGAAGATCAAGAGACAAGCCTCACACCAGCTCCCTTCAAGGCAGCAGAGAAGGATAATGATCTGTGATACTTTATTTCCTCTTGGGGATTACAATATATTAATAATAAACTTCCAAACAGGTGGTGATTACTTTGTTCAGTTTTAAATTGAAATTCACATCCTTTGGTATTCCACTAAAAGCATAAAAGCACAAGCCTTGCAGATACCTGTTCAGGAAAAGGGTATCTATCTGTTTGCTTTTTCACAAAAATTGTTGGGCTACGGCGCTAACAAATTCACATCTCGCTTTTTTCTTATTCCCCAGAGACTGCAGGCTGTAAACGAGACAGCTCGAGCTGCAAAAGTTAGCATTGCTTCGTGCTGAAGAGCAACATTTCTCCAGGAACAGCTCATTTGTTACACGAGAATTTTTCAGCTCCCTCGGAAAGACCGCCATGGAAAAAGTTTCATTAAAAATAGCTGGTATCCAGAATTAAGCTCTGGGCAGCGGGGGGAAAAAAGAAAAGAAAGAAAAAAAATCTGAATGAGCACAGTGGATATCCCTCAAATGAACAGCAGCTTGCTTACGTAAGGAGATTGTTTGTTTCTGACATTTAGTTACCTACAGATTTTTCCAAGAGTTGAATTAAGCTTCTCCTCCTCCCCATCCCTTCAATTACATATTTCAACACCTATCTGCCAAAATAAATTAATACTAGAGCCCTAAGCTCCGGTTAGCTAAGAATATCTACCCGGCAAAACCCAGGGACCTTTAAATGGTACTTTGCAACTACCTTACCTAGAAAGTTGTACATGCACATTACATAAAACAGAATCTGGTGAGCCGTAGCCTCAGTATCTCGGAGCTTTTCCGAAGGGCAAAACCACACTTTCTTCTTCCCTTTCCATTCCCGCTAAAAACATATGCCACGATAACCCCTTTTCTTCCATTATGCGCTGCATTCTTGTCCAACTGATGCCTTATTGACAAGCTCCAATAACAAAACCTCGCACAGATTTCTCTGCCGGGGAAAGGCAGAACCGTGGACCTGGCTGCGCCGCACGGGCTGTGTTTGGCTGAGAGCGAGCGTGCCCAAGGAGAAGAACTTACGGCCGACGTTTCCACGGGGGCTTTCCCTTTGATCCAGCTTGACCTCATTGAGAGCGCGGAGCTACTGAATCAGCACAGCTGCTTCTGCTCCCTCCATCCACAGAGCTCGCGGCGAACGAGCTCCGGCAGGAATCAGCAGTGCTAGAAACAAGCAGGGAACCTCCCTCCTCATTCACCACCCCCTCTCTCTTTTTTTTCCTTCTCTTTTTTCCTTTTTTTTTTTTTTTTTAAATTTCCAGGGAGTTTGCAGGAGCATGCCGGATGTCAATCTGCTTCCTCGCGTATCCAGTCACGTGGCACTGGATCAGCGAGCTTAACTGCAAAGAGCTCCAACTGGAGAGGAGAAAAAAAAAAAACAAACCCACAACGCTCCTGCTGTTTCCCATAGGATATCCTGGTGAGCCGGGTTTTTTTCTTTTTTGGGGGGGATTATTCTGGAAGGAGGATTTGGGCTCGCTTGTGCGGGCCCGCGTGCGCGGCCCCGGGGCGCTCGTGGCCCGGCCGTGGCCAGGGAGCCTCCAGCTGCTCAGAGCATCAGTGAAGGACCCGGGTATGAACCAGCTGGGCGAGACGCTGCACCATGGGGCAGCAAAATGTTGAGAAATGGCTTTTTCTCCTGATGATGACGCATTCCGCCGAGGATAGAAATCCCCATTTTTTTTGCTAGCTATAAAATAGATACCAAGTTTCCCATGCCTCTTAAAAAGAGTTACTAAAAACAATAAATAAGTAACAACTGCCTGTCACTGCTTCCCTACAAAACAAATACAAATACAACAGGAGGGGACAACAGGATAAACGTCTCAGTGCAAAGATGAGTATTTTTGCCTTGTTCTAAACAAAGGGCTTTCTGCTTTCCACAGAGATTAATACCGACATTGTAACATTGCTATGGCCCATGTTGATGGCCATTCCGCAGTAAAGGCCATCGTTTTGCTCCTCTCTGCTTTTCCCTGTCTTCAAGGGCATGTTCAAAGGTGCCAAAACACCGGCTATCCCACCCCACACACTGCAGCCGGGGGCTTTG